AGGCTGCTGTACACCACGGTCGTCCGAAGAATGGCCTTGTACGGTGCACCAATATTGGCAGACGCCCTTAACGCATCGAACAGGGCCCTCCTCCGCAGGCCGCACCAGCAGCAGCAGCAGCAGCAGCAGCAAAAGAAGAAGAAGAAGAAGAAGGAGAAGAAGGAGAAGAAGAAGGAGAAGAAGAAGGAGAAGAAGAAGGAGAAGAAGGAGAAGAAGAAGAAGGAGAAGAAGAAGAAGAAGAAGAAGAAAAAGTAACAAATTTTAAATTAAAATTATTGTCAAAGTCATTGAAATCAAATCGTGTTAAAATGAACTAAGTGAGAAAAAATCTATAAAATGAGATTTACATATACAAAGATCTCCAACAACTTGACAACAAGATATTATTCATATTCATTAGAGAGAAAGATTAAAAAGGGATTATTTAAAAAAAACATATTGCATATGAATAAATTTTGATTTAAAAATTTATGATTTCTTTACATTTAAAGTTTTGATTATAAATAAACAACAATTTAATCTAGTTAATTTAAGTATGTAATTTTAAATTTACAATTTATTTGTTTTCATTTTACATACTCTTTGACAAAGCTCTTTGATGTCAACCGGAGTCAGTTCAAAAACTAATATTCTTATTGGACTTTGTGAAGTTACATAAATTATTTGAATTAACTTCAATTCTATATAATATGCCGTGTAGCTTAATTTATAACTCGTTGTAGTGTAAATATAAATATTATTTAACATAATTTTTTGAGAATAGTAACGCAATAGGACAAATATGTGATAAGTATTGACAATTTTAGATTACCGTTTGTTGTCATCTTCAGAACGTTGATTTACGAATGTTGATTTTTGTGATTAACTGCACCATTTCCATTATTTAAACAAAAAATGCAATAAATTTTCGGAACATGGGTATGTATTGGCACTACAAAAGATTGTCTCTAAACCTTTGTGTTTTGACTAAATGATTGAGTGATTTAACAGAGGAAACGAGGAATGAAACAGTGGATCTTTCGAGGCGTGGGCTAAAGAAAATAGAGAAAGCGCCTTTAGAAGACTCTAAAACAATTATATCATTGATTCTCGACCAGAATGAACTACAGCGGCTGGACAACATCGAAACTTATAACCGTATCGAAAACGTAAAAACTCTTATGACCTATTTTATAATATTTATTGATAGTAATAAAAACCTTAAGCTGTAAACAGTTCCTTAGTATAGATTTCTCACACGAAATCGTAGCTAAGGGTCTCCCTTAATAACCAATTAATGACTATGAGATAGTAAGAATCACATTTATAGAAAATGTACCATTTTGTAAGAAAATCTATATAAATCTTGTTTTACTCTTGAATTCTGTGTGTTTAAGATATTTTCTTTTTAGTTGTCAATATGCAATAACTTTCTGGTTCGGATGCACGGTGTATCCCGTCTTGTCAATCTGAGAGTCCTGGCGTTGAACAACAATGGAATACTGCAAATAGAGGGATTAAAAGATCTGATTTATTTGAAAGTATTAAAATTAGCTGGTAAGTAATATAAATATATTTATAGATTTCTTAACTAAGAATTATTTAATAATTTCTAATTATATAAAAGAAAATATGTGAAAAGAAAATTTGTTCATTATCATCATCATCATCATAATCAGCCTAAATTTGTCCACTGCTGGACGTAGGCCTCCCCCATCAATTGCCACAATGCCCGGTCCTGTGCCACCCACATCCAGTGTACCGGAAATTGTTATTATTAAGGAACTATCTTATCTTTCTTGATAAAATAATCAAGCATGTTGATATTAGTTTTTTTTTAGGCAACAACATCAAGTCTATTGAGCATTTAAACCACAATATGCATATAGAACATCTAGATCTGTCAAACAATCAAATCTCTTTTATAGCTGATATATCATATTTGAAGAGCTTAAAGGTGAGATTATATTCAAAACTATGATTCTTCCTCATAATAATTTAAAAAGTGACAATTTCAACAATGAAATGTTTTAAAAGCAGTTGGCATCAGCCAGTTGGGTCAGCAGAATTAATAATTTTACTATATTTAAGGAAGTATTATTTTGTATTACAGAAATTGTTATCTAAAAAGATTTCAGTTTAAATCTAGAACACAATTTTACTAATGAAATATGTTTAACTATTGACATTTTTTAACAAATTACAGCATTTGAACCTGGAAAGGAACCGTATAATGGATTTACGTCAGTGCGACCGCTATCTACCTCCCGCATTAGAACATTTAGGTCTTGCACACAATAACATTCAGGATTTGAACGAGATATGTCATTTGGTGCATTTATCTAAGCTAGACAGTTTCAGTATACAAGGCAATCCGTGTGTCTCATTAGCTGGCAAGGATAAACTGTATCCTTTTATTATTATAAAAAATAATTTTACATTTGATTGTGTTATCATTGAACATGTGAATTGTCAAAGTTTATACTAAAAACAACTATTTAAACAGCTTATTGATTAATTTGAACTTGGATAAGGGAAAGAAGAAGAGTGTCGGTGGCTCAGGAGTCAAGCACTTGACTTGCAATATACAAGTCCTGGTTTCAAATACCGCCTTGTACCAATGTGTTTTTTACATATGTACATTCATCCGACGTTCTTATGGTGAAGGATAACATCGTGATGCACATATCTGAGAAAAAATTTAAAGATATGTGTGAAGTCAACCCGCACTGGGCTGTGGTTGACTATGGCCTTGTCACCCATGACTTAGGGTAGGCACTGACCCCTTGGGTACATATAGTGAGCTGATGATGAAGGGAAAGAAGGGGAAGAACATATAGAGGATTCTCTATGAATTGAGTTTATCCTTTTGGATGTTGTTTGAAAGGATTAGACAATGACACTTGCTTTTAGAGGTTTCTCATACAAAGTTATAAGTTTGACTGCATTTTATATACAAATAGTTACATTAACTTTATGTATATAATATATATAGTATATCTATGTAAATAACTTTATGTGAACATTTCTTGACTTTATACCAGAGGATTTGACTATCGTCCGTTTGTACTCAATTGGATTATGAGTGTCAAATCTATAGATGGATTTATTGTCAGTGCGATAGAGAGGTAAGCGATACTCTACTAACATTTGCAAATAAATTATTATATATCTTTTAATTATTCTATTAAAATAAACAAAATTTCTATTTTTACCAACTAAATTTTAAAACATACTGTTATCTCTGTTTTGTGAAAGGTAATGAAAGGGATGACAATATGTTTTATAAAGAGAATTTGGTATCTGAAGCCAACGGTCAGTTTTCATTATTCATTAGATATATAAGCAGTACCTTTGATTTCACGTATTATATCTACACTAAGGATTGTCCTTAGAGATCTTTGTACAACTCTGAGAGCATCAGTTAACCTCTTATCTTATATCTTTCAGTTTGAAGGCAGAATGGCTGTATAGTCAGGGCAAAGGGCGGCATTTCCACGAAGGTCAGCATAGAGAACTATGCGAGTACCTTGCCGCCACTTGTCCCCTTACAGCTGATGCGCTAGAGACTGAAGAGCAAAGGAAATTAAGACTCATTCTCAGTAAGGTAAGGTTCATTTTAGTACAAATGTACATAAGTTTCACAACTTAAGGAAACTGAGACTTATTTACATGGTGATAAAGTTCAGTTTAGTTAAAAACATTTTTGTTTTGTTGTTATTTCAGGCACAACATCACCAACAACAGTTAAAAGATCACAACCACAGCCCAATGAAGTCTAAGATTCAATCTCCGAGGATGCAATGTAAGAAAATCTTGAAATTTTTAATAATTTTCAGTACAATTTACAAAACATTTTTGTGAATATTTATTAGGCTGACTATTACCATCCATTTAATGACTTCTTTCTAAAAACCCAGTGACTACAGACCATTGACCTCTATATATGGACTGGCTATTAGACATAATATATTGTGCCTATTTGGTTTTCGCTTTTTTGGCGTTGATGGAAGCGGCCTGTATAGGCGGTATGAAATCAAACTAGTATATATCAAATAATTTTAGGTGATTCTTTGCTCGTTTGCCCTCTGCTCCTATAAAAAAATTAGTTGGCCCCCGTGACACCAAGCTATGTTCTATATTTATGTCAAATTGCATCGAGTAGATACGTTCCAAAAACATCCATCTGTCCAAACATTCGCAGTTACAGTATTACAAAGATATTAAGATATAATTAACTGTCAAATAACATCAATAGGTGCGTTTAAATCGGAATATAGCGAAACTTTTTCCAAGCAATCGCCTATCCATTTATAGAGATCAGTGCTGCATACTAATCGTTTAAAAAATACTATTATCTCAGTTTTGTCAAAGATAATGACAGGGATGACGATATTTTGGTCTTAGAAACCAACGGTTAATACTTAACTTGCAGCTCGTGTGCCGAGTCGTCACATGGGGCGGTCCCCCGACCGGCTGAGCAGCAGCTACCACGCGCGTGCTGCCTCCCCCTCGCCCTCCCCCACACCCGCACACCACACGCACATACCTCACGCCATGAGTCACAGCTACGATAGTCCCGGACTTATGTTTGACAAGCGGGACAACAATAGGGACAAATCTGGTAAGTTTCTTCTTATTTAACACTAGTTCTCGACTGCAATTCCATCCGTGCGAATAAAAAAAAACAAAATTAGTAGCCTATGTTCTATATGTATGCCAAATTTCATCGAGATCCGTTCAGCTATTCTAAAGATACCTTTAAACAAACAACCATCCAAACATTCACATTTATAATATTAGTAAGATTTCATCGAGATCCAATAAGCGATTCTGGAGATACTTTCAAACATCCATCCATCCATTTAAACATTGGCATTTATAATATTAGTAAGATGTGTGTTAAATGTGTTTTAATAAAAAATATTTACATAAATAATATTTTTACAATTCAGATAAAAAAAACTGTTAATTTAAATTAATGTCTTTATTATTTTAAACAACTATTGTTATTATACTCAAAGTCAAGAGATCTTTCTCAGTGTAGATTTGGTATGAATAATCTACTTTAAGGCAAACCCTTAAATAACTCTGGTAGTAATTAGTTTTTTTTTATTTCAGCAGAATTACCAAAACCAGTGAACCAATCATTAGAAGCAGCATCAAAAATGGTTCCAGTACCAGAATCCCTCATGAGCCCCGACTACCAAGATCCTATTTACGATATCCAAAGAACAATACCAAAGCCGAATACAAACATTTCAACATCAAGTCAATCCAGTAATAGTAGCGTTCAAGATGATAGAAAACTGAAAAGTCTAAAATCATCACCGAAATTACCAAAAAGTGCAAATTCATCACCGAAATTGAAATCTAAAATGGAACGTAAAGGAAGTTTGACTAAATGTGATATAAAAAATGATGAGAAAAAATTAAACGGTATAACAAATAAAGTAGACCAAATAGATCATGATAAATTGGAGATGATACGTTTAGCATCGAACCAAAGAAGACAGAAGAAGATGAGCGTAGAAGCAATGGCAGCGGTCACCATACAGAAGATGTGGAGGGGATACAGAAGTAGGAATCTAAATAAGGATACATTGAGGATCCTGCATGCGATACAAGCTGCCAGAGCGAGACAGCATATACAGTAAGTAAATAAAATTATTAAAAACATTTATCTATATATATAAAAGAAAGTTGTGTTAGTTACACTATTTATAACTCAAGAACGGCTTTACCGATATGGTTGAAAATTGGTGAGGAGGTAGCTTAGAGCCAGGAGACAGACATAGGATACTATTTTTCGAATTTATGCCTTGAAGAACTGCTTTTTATTTAACTTACTAATATTATAAATGTTAATGTTTAGATGGATGTGATGTGGATGGATGGATGGGTGTTTGAAGATATCACTAGAACGACTGAACGGATCTCGATTAAATTTGGCATATGTATAGAACATAGTCTGAAAGAACACATAGACTACACTAAGTTTTTTGATATATCCACTCGGACGGAGTCGCGGGCGATAGCTAATTAACAAATAATTCTTAACTGAAACATTTGTACAAATGAAAAAAAAAATTTAAAAAAAAAATTGTTTTGTTTTTCTCTGTCTTCGACTCTGTTAAATAAACAAACAAATAATAGTAGCCTATATATTTGTCGGAATATTTTATGTATAGAAAATTTTGTATGTGAAAGTTTATGGATAGATGGATGTTTGTAAGAAGGTATCTTCAGAACACCTCAATAAATCTCGATGAAATTTGGTATTTATATAGAACATGTTCTGGAATACATAGACTACTGAAATCTTTTTAAATCCTCGCGTGGAGACGCGGGCGACAGCTAGTGAATAATTTAACTTGTATACATTTACAGACGACTGACATGTGACATGGAAGCGACAAAAGCAGCTTTAGAAAGTGAAAGAAAGATACAACAATTGCAGATGCAAGCTATCAATGCGTTATGGAAGAAAGTTTCTACCTTACAAAATGCTGGTAATTTCATAAACATATCTACTAAGAATCAATTTTTTTTATATCATAAGGTGGCAAACGAGCGAGCGGCCATCTGAAATCGCTGATATAGCGAAGTGACGGTTGTCCATAGACATACGCAATTGCATATGCGTTGCCTACCTTTAATCCACGGAGGAGAGGATGCACAGAAAGAAAATATCTTCCCTTTCCATGCATCCTCTCATCCGGAAAGTCCACTTTCACTTCACATCTTTTCCTTATAAGAAAAAGATGGGAAGGGAAAGAGGACTAAATTAGGCCTCCGGGACGCACACTCATCAGACTGTACTTGGAATAGCTTCCACTTGACGCCTGTCTTCTGTGTGGTCGTGGTATTTCACCGGACGAGCTGGGCCGATTCGTGCGAACATGTTAAAGTGGGCTCTACCACTGTTAATCATTTAAAAGTTCTTGAAGTAATTCCTTAGTTTGGATTTCTCATACGAAATGCATTGACCCGCTTAAAGGGACCCTAAGTGATGATTTCTCATATTAATTCTACACTAAGGCACACCAATTATAAGTTTTTGAGTTCGGAAATAATTAAGAGCTTCTTATAGTAAACAAGGGTGGGAGCAACCCTTTCCTTGCCCATAGAAAGGGAAATATAAATATAGATATAGAAACTACTACAAAATAACTCAAAAACTACTTTTTAGTTTTTTTTTAATTAGACCACTGCTCACAAGTGTTTCCTTTTAAAAAAAAAATACTGCATGACGCATATCTCTGAGAATCTATATAATATTTTAGCAGATTTTTTTTGTAAATTTACTAATATTTCTTTAACCATTCCAACTAAACTCTAGGCTTGTGCTAGGATATGGTTTACGACAATAGTCGAATGGCGGGATTCGAACCCACGACCTCGTGGTCGGAAATCCGTATCCTTAACCATTAGGCTGTTGACGCTTAAATAATTATCTATGGTATTAATTACCCTGTAATTATCTATGGTTTAAAGCTAATTAGAAATAATAATTTGTCTATGTTCCAGATGTTCAGAAAAACAAGTTGTTTGATACAGATGACAACTCTGAAGTGTTGCGACAGTTGACGGATACATGTTGCAGCTTGCAGGCGCAGGTATCTTATTATACTACTCTAATCGTGGGTTTCTGAGACCAAAATATCTTATATATAAAATTGTTGTCACAATGTTAGTTACCATACTCCTCAGAAAAGGTTTAACCGATTTTTATGAAATTTTATATGCATATTCAGTAGCTCTGAGAATCTGCTACTATATATTTTTTAATTCAGTGCGGACAGAGTCACGGGCGACTGCTAGTATTCTATATAAAACTTATCGTGGTCTCTATCTTTCATCTTTTTAAAAACAGAGAAATTATTATAAATAACGATATTTGTCTCAGAAAGCCACAGTAAGTGATTTTTATAGTGAAATGTAAAATGTTAATATGATCCATATTCTATCTAGAATAATCATATCACTGTTAGTGTACTGTCAAAACACTTAAACAAAAGTATATTCTCATCCCTCTCGTTCCTTTTGATAAAGAAAGAGGCAGAGAGAGTGAGATAAAGTTGTTTAACTAGTTAATTGTGTTTTTATGATGTGACAATATGTTCCAGGTGGTGGAGCTGCAGAGCAGCATGCAGCAGGTGCTGCGCGCGGTGTCGCAGCGCACACGCGGCGCGCCCGTCGCCACGCAGACTGACATCGTCGCTGTTGACACGCCGCAGGTCATATCTTTATATATATAATTCTTCTGTGAGTGTGTATGTCACTGAAGTTCTCTCAAACGACTGGACCGATTTTGATGAAATTTTTTGTGTGTGTTCAAGGGGATCTGGGAATGGTTTAGATTCACAATTTTGTCCGCTGGACAATGTTTTTTTAATTAATTTTTAATTTATTAGTAGTTGTTGACTTTGGAATGTTTTACATATGATCCGACAGACGGCGCTACCATCGCAGTGTCAAATTTTAAATAGTATTCGAATTTTAATTTTATTTTTTTATTTTAATAGACAGGACTGTCGGGTCCGCTAGTATATATGTATATGTATATATATATATATATATTATATCTATATATCTTTTTATAATATATTCTATTATATTACATAAACTCATATGAATACAATAAATGAAAAATGAAAATGAAAAATGAAAAATAATTTATTAAAATCCAAGAACATAATTTCACATTAAAAAGTTAAGCTAAGAAATTTAATGGATACAAAAAATGTGGGTATTACAAGTATTTACCAGTATCCTCGCACTAGGCGCAGCCTGTGTCGCGAGGATCCTGCTCTTAAGATTTATCAGAGGTTCGTTAGACGGCAACAAATTAAATAAAATACAAATAATCAAGTGCCATTTGTTTTAGAAAAGAAGCTAAATCAAAGTTACACATGCCAAACATTAGTGATAAACTTAACATATTATTTTAAGAATGTCTTCTGTGTCCTTGTACGTTAGTTTCAGCAACCACGACTTTAATTTTATTTTGGCTTTGTTAACCGAGTCTCGCTTAATGTCGCATTTTTCTAAGACTATATTGTAAATGTAGGGACCTAGGAAATGCTCAAAACGTTGAGCAAATGAGGAATTAACCTTCGGTATGGGCACTTTAAATTTTCGCTTTGCATGAAGATTTTGGCCATTGGTACTATTTACAATAGCGTTATGCTGTAAAATAGATGTCCTTAATATGAAAATTTTCCGTACACTGAGAACCCCAGCCTCCGAGTACAAAGCAAATGTCGAAGATCTTTTTCTACGGTTGAGCAACACTTTTAACACCGCTCTTTGTGCTCTCTCTAGTTCGAGCATAGCAGTCATAGCAGATCCTCCCCACGAAGTAATGCAGTAAGCGATTATGGATTCGCAAAGTGCAGTGTAGACTAATAGTGTAGTTTTAGGGTCGGCAGCGTCACGGATACGGTACATGATATGAGTCAGTCTACGAACTTTGGCAGCTAAACCAGATATGTGCATATTGTAAGACATTTTGTCATCAATGATAACACCAAGATATCTAATGTTGTGCACTTGCTCTATTACGGGACAGTTACATAAGCTGGGATTAGAACACTCCGCATGAATTTTTAACTTTATTTGGTATTTCGGTTCGGAAGATTTGGTTTTGTAGAAATATAAAGCTTTTGTTTTATTTGTGTTAAGGGTTAAAAGGTTGTTATTTAACCATTCAACTGTTCTCTTAAGACCTATTTCTGCTCTTTGGGAAGTTTCAGACCAAGACTCGCCATCAAAAATGAGAGCAGTGTCGTCGGCGTAACAGATTACATTAGTAAAATTATTATCAATGACGCTAAGGAGATCATTGATATAAATTATGAAGAGAGTGGGTCCGAGGACACTGCCTTGTGGGACGCCGTAGGTTATTGGCAGCTTTTTACTACTGAACTCATCAATTTTAATTATTTGAGATCTATCAGTGAGGTAACTCTGAAACCATTCTAAAGCCAGACCTCAGAATAATCAAAATTAAAATATTGTGCTAAAGTATCATGATGATTATTTGGTTGTTTGTATTGAGTAGACTCCGAAACTAGAGAAGCAATTTGGAAAATTATTTCACTGTTGGAAAACTACACTTTATCCTGATGAAATATAGATTATATTTAGTTTTAGATTTTTCTCTAACACCTCGCGGGCGAAGTTGCGAAAAACTGCTAGTTTTGAACAATATTTTCTGGTGTTTTCAGGAGGAGCGGTGCACGTGGCTGCGGCGACCTCAGTCACTAGCACTGCCCTCTGCCGTGCCCGCGACAACATTAACCGACATCGAATGGTAAATATCCTAGGAAATAAAAAAAATATTCTTCTGCTCCCTTAATACTTGTATTAAAACATATTGTTGTCTCTGTTTTGTCAAAGAGAATGAAAGAGATAGCAATATCTCTATAAATGGATAAGATAGGGTAGGTCGTTGCTGGAACATTCTGTTTCTATTATTAGTTTTAATCCTTGCCGGTAATAACCGTAAGTAACGGTACTTACCGCAATCCTCAGCGCGAAAATGGCGGAAATCAAATAGGCACAAAATGGCACGGTTTATAGCCTATCCGTGTATAGAGGTCAGTTCAGGAGATTAATCTCCAATTAATAATGTCTATGATAGATTAATTTAAGTGTTATTTAATTTGTAACTTTCCAGCAACAAAACGAACGATGTTGTCGCCATAGATATAGAGCGTACGGAGTCCATCATAGAGGATAGAGGTGACGTGACCATAGACAATCAAGAACGAAGTCTTCTCGTTGATTGATGAAGTAACGCTTATTACCTGCACTATTGGGGTTATATTTGCAAAGCTGAGCTTACACGGATTCATTCCAAAGTTGATGTTATATTTTGCAATTTTATATAAGCTTAATGTACCTATTAAAGATTATATGTGAATTATTTATATAATGAAAAATATATAACGATGAAGAGTTACATTGAATATGTTTGATTTTGAATGTTGCTATGAAAATATACCAAAATTTATGTTTAAAAATATCACATAAGTAATTGTTTCTTTCAAAAAATAATTTTTAATAGGTACAAGGTTTTTTTTGTGCTTTTTTTTAATTTAATTGGTAAGTGACCTTTTAGAACGTTTTCGCTTTGGCTGTGTCGAAAAGACATTTTATTTAGGATATGATTTAAAAAAGAAACAATGAATAAGCAAAAGAAATATTAAAAAAAAGTACATTACTAATTGTTAAGTTATTTTTTTTTCTTTTATTTTTTTTTTAATTTTTGTGACATTTTGTACAATCTGTTGAGGTTAAGGGTATTTCTTGTCTATGGTTGAAATTAATCCTCATTTTTTTATGTTTTCGCAAAATATTTTCTCATTTCCAAATATGACAACTCATTTAATATTAGCTATAAGATTTAATTTAATTATTTTTTTGTACTAGAATAGTAATTTTCACAATAGACCAAAAGTCACAATATTAGTTACATATGTAGTTAATTGTTTTTATATACTTAACAAGTAGTAAATAGTAAATAGATATGTAGTAACACCGCTCTCACTTAATTTATAAGAGTTATATTTTTTTACAGATGGTAACACCAAACAATAACTTTATATTTTTATTTTTTTTATTAGTTTACATTTTTTTTAGAAAACAGAAGTACAGGAACAATTAATAGAAAATAAACAATTATAAGTATAAATATTTAATTTTCTACAAATCTAGTAAAAAATAACGTCTTTAAAATTAAATCGCCCAATGATTTTTTCTCAGTAATTTTCTAAATTAATAAAAAAACGTAATTAACTCTATGGTCAATCAATACGAAGAAAACTTTAACTTGCCTTGTGGTTGTTGAAATTGAAACGAATTTTTATTAGTAAAATTTATTACATTGTTCATAAATTTACCCTTTTCATACTGCCATTATATACTTAAAAATATATAAAAACAGTCGAAATAACCATATACATATGTCTTATATAAAAACTTTTCAATCGTTTCGGAAAGTTTTTTTTTTAACTTGAGTTTTTAAGTTTTCATTGCAAGAATAAAGCTACGATAAATTACTGTTTCAAATATAATATCCGGCTTGAAGGACCATTTTGGGGATTAACATTTCTTTAAAAATAAAATGTGGCTGTATACTGTTATTTAATTTAATAATAAAAGCCCATCATTAGTGATTAGGACTTCATAGACAAAATGTATGATTAACTACACCCAGTTCCGTTTAATGGACCCTAAGGGCTACCCTTTGTATGAGAAATTATTAAATTATAATATGATTTTGGTTAATGACACATTGATATGTTCACTGAATCTCTCGCTACGCTTTTTTAGTTTATAATTCTATTGGTTTGTATTTTTTTTTATTCGAGAATATTTATCATTTGATTTCAAATATTACTAAAATAATAAGATATAAACACTTTTCAAACACAATAAGAGTGTTTATCCTTAATGGGGTAGAAGACGAGCAAGCGGAAATTAAATTCGTTAAAATAGCAAAGAGACTTCTATCCATAGACATTAGGTCTCTGTTTATCCTCTTTGGTTTAGTCGTGATGAAATTGACAGCAGCCTCCGTCGATTAAAGGTAGGCAACGCATATGCAATTGTGTATGTCTTTGGGCAGCAGTCACTTCGCTATTTCAGCGATTTCAGGTGGCCTCTCGCTCGTTTGCCACCTTTTGATATAAAAAAAGAGTTTTGATATTTGACATCTTATGGCTATATTTCTCTGAATGTCTTATAATATTTCCTAGTCATTTTTAACAACGTCATAATTTGTTTTTAGTGCAATTGGTTTGTCTGCCTGTACCGACTGCGAAGCTAAGGGTATTGTGATTTAGAAGTAGATTTAATTTTTAAATTTGTGCCTTTTTTATCTGTATTCTTGTGATTTGTGTTGATTATGTATGACATTCCTTTAGCCCTATAATTGTTTTGCAAGTATCTTGTATGTGAAATAAAGAGGCGTCCATAAATTACCTGAAGTGTTGAAGGGGGGGGGAAGTTAGGTCCAGGCAAATCTCATCTCATCTTACGTTGGAGAGGGGACTCGGCAAAATAACGCATTTTTTTTTCTGATTGAAAAAAAATACTATTCTGGTCCATTACATAAGAAACTCACATTTTGAAAAATTTCACGTGAGATTGGGGGTTGAATAAAATCTCACGACATCTCACCTTCAGAAAATTAAAAAAAACACCTCACGTAATTTATGGACGCCCCGTAAGTATATAATAACTTAAAATAAGATTTTTTATACATATATTTTTGGTGAATTAAAGATTTTTTCTATTTGTTTTTACTGAAGTTGAGTTTTACGAGAAATGTTTGCAAATGTACATTCAAAAAGAAAAATATTATGAGACAAAAAATGTTTTGTGTTTACTCAGTACCGATTAAAAGAGAATATGTCGAAATATCTGTACTAAAATGTTTGCTATCTCTGTCTTTTTAGACTCAATGAGAGAGATGGCAATACTATTTTTAGTTGTGATTTTCGGTAGTGGAAATCCTCAGTGATATTGAAAAAATGTTTTCAACATCTGTCACAAAGCTTTGTATTTTCAGCAAGCGATTTGGAATTAGCTTAATTATTAAATTGGCTGCTTTTTAATAAAAAAAATGTGCAGCTATTGTTTTTTTTTAATGTTTTAAAATTGACAAATAAAATTATGTTATAAGTATTGTATATTGACTAAAGTGTTTAACCAGGCAGACTGAAGCGACGATTCCGCGATAATGAACCTTAAAGTTATTGGAAAAGTGTTCAAATTACATTAACAATACGAATTATCTTTCAAAAGTATAAAATATTAAATTGTAGGACATTTTTTTTAATTATTATGACGTAACCGTTAGTT